GTGCAAAGAGTTCCCGCTATTCGAATGCAAATTTGTGTCCCGCTATTGGCCAGCTCTAAATTATTCCTACGTGGCGGCTAGTAATTGGCTTGCTAGCCGTTTAAAAATTCGCGCGACTTCCGCCCAAGTCGGAGAACTTTGAGCACGCTGCAGAGTGCATCAAAAAGAGATCTGACTTGCGGCTGAGCTGATCGATAGACTGATCACCTATCGATTCTTCTCCCCGTCACCGAGCGCAATCCCAGACGTACCCTGTTCCTGCCGGCTCGATTTGTGGACGGATGAGCTAGCCTGAGCCTTGCCAGCTGGAACAACTAACATAGTTGTTCATACGACCGGACCGTCTGCGTCGCAGCTACAAGCGGCGTAAGTAAAGTTTTTGCAACCATTTAAGCCTTGTCCGCCTCTCTATTCACCAGCCCGCCTAACGAACGAGCAATTATTAGATCACCTCGAGTCGGCTCTGGCCGTCCGAGACACTGGTCATTTATAGGATTAAAGAAGCAAGATTAAAAACTATAGTTACAGTTCATGTCAGGATTCTTACAATGAGCCTGTGTAAAACATTTTGAATACAATAACTTTGTCTGGCTGCAAAAACTGATTTGGTATCCTAATTTTTCTAGTTTTCTTCAGTGGAAGATAAATGCAATACTGGTAATTAACTGGTATTTTTTCTGGGAATTGTGTTGGTGTCATAGCATAATTCTGTCTTTACAGCGCCAGACGTTTCAGCTTGTAAAATGAAGAGATGATAACAGGCCCTTCTATATGTGCTGGTAAAGGCACAATGAGATTTAATGCTCGGTCTACACAATTGTGCCTCCTGGTATGCTACACATGCATTAAATCTCATTGCGTCTTATTGCCTGTGCACAGGGAGCCTAACTTTGGACTCCTGTGCACTGGCAAGAAGCAAGCTCCTATGGCTGGGAGCTCCCTCAGCTCAGGGGTTCCTAGCCACAGGGGTGCCCCATGTACCTCTGTGGCTTGGAAATGCAGCTGTTGCGATTTCCGCACCTCTGGATACGTGAAATCCCAGAGCTGCTGGGATTTCCGCTCCTCTGGATATGTGAAATCCCAGAGCTGCTGCAGTCTTCCCACCTTAGGGGTGCATGATGCTGGGACCCAGAGTCAGCATCTGCTTGGGCTGAGAGTCCCCTCAGTTGTGGGATTCTTGGACCTGGCTGGGCATGGTGCACCCCTGCAGCTGGGAGCCCCATCAGCTAACAGGGCTCCTAGCTGTAGGGGAGACTCCGCTATATGTGCAAATTAAGGCTCAATATCAACCAGGTATAAAGTTAGTACACATTTTGAAGTCTAATTATATGGCCAGTTGGAGCTTTTTATGGTATGATAGGTACTTTGTAGCTGGTCTTAAGGAAATTGCACAATTAACCAGTTAATTGCACAATACCTGTAGCACATAGTGGGAGCCAGTGAAACATCAAGAGCCTGGCAGTTTTCAGTTTCTGTTAGTCACAGTAGAGTCCAATTAGTTCCATAAATATTTAGGTTTCTATTTTTATTATTATAGTGTTTCCTAAGATGAAGTCTCAGTTTTTACTTTTTTATGGCTTCTGAAAATTGTTAAGAAAAATTCCTTTGATTTCCTTATTCTGGCTTTAATTGGCTCCTGATTTCTTTTGGAACCATATGGATTCTGCAGTTAAAACTTTTTTTTCATTATAGTTAAGTGTTGTTGTTTTTCTGTTAGTAATATATTCTGAATAGGAAATTAGTAAATGATTTTGTGAGGTGTCAAACGTGTGGCAGCTTGTGAAGTACATCAAATATTTCTAATAGTTCTAACTGTTATAGTCATTTGAACTTTTTTTCTATATGAAGGTATTTACCTTAGACCTACACTTTGTATGCTTAGGTGTTATAACTTTGATTATTAGGGTGGAAATACTACATTTTGTGTTTTATGTAGTTCTTTAGTGTACAGTTTAGCAAGGTGTTATTTGGTGTAAAGGAGTCTTTATGCTATTTACATCTGTTACACTTTATATGTGGTCTTCAAAATTTTTACATTCTGATACGACAAAAAACTTTGGGAAAAGGAAAAATCAAACATTCATAGTGGGTGCATCTACATGTGCAATTAATGTGACATGATAAACTCTGGTGCAGTTTGCCCTGGAGTACACTGCTGTCAGGCTCAGCGTCTACACATGCGCCTGGGACAGCAGCAGTATGAGCTGGGGTGGAGCAGTCCTGGGCTGGCAGAGGGCACGAGGGATCAGCCCCAGGCTCTGGGTAGCAGCACCAGGTAACAGAAGGCCTGGATGGGGCAGGAGGGTGCTAAAGTACAGGGGTAGGTAGCAGTCAGCCCCTGCACCTTAGCACCCTCATGCCCCAGTCAGCACCTGTTTCAGTGCAATTAAGTATTCCGCGGTACTATCCTACAGTATAGTTAGTTAATTTACTGCACCCTAATACTGGTGCACATGTAGACTGACGCTTTACTATGACTAACCCTAATTAGCAGCCAGTGGGTGCATCTACATGTGCCCCTATGGTGCTGTTGCTACTGCACTGTCATTTAGTATTTCCTCTAGGAAGTACTAAATGATGGCACAGTAACAGCCATTACTGCACTGTGCCAGGAGCGCATGATTATTTTTAGCCGCTGTGTTGCTATAGCAACGCACTGTAGTGAGGGAGCCCATTGCTATGGCAATGTAGCTGCGGCATCATAGTTTTTGCCCACTGCACCCATGAGCAGTAAATAATACATTTTTCTAGATTAAGTGTAGCTTGTATGGTGGAAGATTGACCCATCACTAGAAGTTAACATAGTCAAGTGTGAGGTAAGAAAGAGCGTTTCATGGATGTAAAGATGATATAGGGTCCTTGAAATTGAAAGTGTTATACATTGCTGGATTTCATACTGGCCAATTGGGGTCTTTCTATTAAAGGCTAGTGAGACTTTGTACATGAAACAATGAACTACAGCAGGGGTTGGCAGGCTGTGTCCCGTTGGCTGACTCTGACCCACAGGGTCATTTGATCTGGCCTATGGAGCTGGCAGGCTTTGCTCAGGGACAAAACCGTGCTAGGTGGGCAGGAGTTTAGCAGTGAAGGGGAATTTGCTTGTGCTGCAACTGGCTTGTGGGGAGCGTTGCCTATACTGTGGGGAGAAGTGACAGTGGCACTGTGGGCAGCAGCCAGATCCTAGTGCTGGCTGCCTCCAAATCAAGCCAGACCTTTGTGGCATACTACTGCAAAAAGGTGCTGACTTCAAACTATTGCATATGTACAAAAGCAGTCGATGATTTACAAAGATTTATAGAAACATGCATTGTTTGAGATAGTGTGGAGTAGACCTGAGGATATTTCTGTACAGTAATACTGAGTTGTAGTTGTAGCTCAGCATGCTACTTTAACTTTGATCCAGTTGACAAAAATAACAATGTTGTCAAATTGGCAAATGCAGCAGGATGGACTAGCATGAGTTTGAAGCCTCTGAATATTCATTCAGATTGCTGTCAGTTTGAATAGCAGTTTTGAAGTCCATGCCACCATCTTTTAACTACTACTTGTAGCTGTTATGACTAAACTGAAGCTAATGCAGATGTGCCCACACATGCTGCATACCTTCATGAGCAGTATAGATGCACATACCTTCATGAGCAGTATAGACATACTCTGTTAGAGCATTGTCTGTATATGTTTCATCCCCAACAACCCACCAAGATCATTTCCATTAGAATCCTGCATGTGATGTGAAAGCTTGTCAAACCCAGATGTTTCCTCAAAAAAAATGTGGATTTTACAAATCAATATTTTATATAACAGTACTGTCTCCTTTGTGTTCAACAGTGTTTTCTGGATATGACGTTCGGAGCAGGAGGTCACACTGTCGCCCTTCTTCAGAAAGCAAGTGACATTAAAGTATATGCCCTAGACAGAGACCCAGCAGCTTATCAAATAGCTCAGCAACTTTCAGACTCATATCCGTAAGTAGAATTCTTGTGTCTTATCTGTAGTGTTTACGGGGTGTCATATATTTCTGAGTTACTTTGATGGATGATCAATTAACACTAGTGCTCTCCTGCCTCCAAATTTCCAGACTTGTGTGGAGACCTGCAGGCCACATGACATGTTCCTGTGTGCTCCAGGTGGAGTACTACTGACTTATGCTTCAGAATTTACTTTAACTTAGAAAATATGCTTTAACTTGATTTTGACTAACTACATACAAATCTTAGTTGAGCTTGCTTAAGTGCATTTCCTCCACTGTCTGTAGTCACTGTTTAAAATTCTATTTAAAATTAGTTTTTTAAAGAATCTATGCAAGAAGATTAATTTGGAATTACTCTAGTTATAGATTTGTTTTTAAAAATATTACATAGTTTGCTAAATCATTTTTGCCACAATCATCTTTCACAACAAACAAGAAATGGATGTAATAATAGTTTTTAATGAAATAATGAGGAAATTTAGCTGTGACTCACTTAGATTAGACAGTTTCATAAAAAACCAAAGGTAATTTACTGAGGTTCAGTATTACATTTCCTGTAATACTGTGTGACTTGCACTGCTGGATTCAAAATTTACTCATTAAGTAAATAAGGCTCTGCTCTTACATCAGGATTTGCTACCACAGACAACTTTTGTTCAGGTAAAGGTAAAGGTTTAATTTGATAGGTGAAATGGGTCAGTAATATAGAAATATTCTTAAGTAGTGCATTATTACTAGTTTTCTCATAAATAATACTTTTTTTTTATTCCTTGATTTCTCTTGTCTTTTCTTTTTTTCTTTAATGATGTATGTTATTCAACAATGATGTATTGTTGAATTAATGATGTATGGCCTCAGATCTCTAGCTGACATGTTTTCAAATTCATTTTGCAATTTTAAAATTCCTTTCTTTATTGCATGTATTTGTCTTAAATGTTTAATTCTGTACATATTTGTAATGTATGTCTCACTTGTAAAACACCACCACCTTTTTGTTCTGAATCCTAATGTTGATGAAAAAATTATGATAATTGCATCTATGCAAGGGACTGGCTTGGAATTAATAACATTTATATTTTATGTAAAAATAAAACACAACAAAAATAATAAAATCACCAGTTGTGTATTAACAAGGACAATATTTATGCTTTATAATGTGAAATCATATGTAGAAGCATGAGCAGTATTTTGTATGCAGCCAGTTTTACATCATACGTGTATGTAGATCCTGAAACAGTACCATGTACTTTTTGGAGTTCCATGAAAACAATTGCTCTTTTTCATAGAAGTTATAGATAACTATTTGTAAACTCAGGAAATGACATGGAAGGTTACCTTCAGAAAGGAGGCAAATATTTGAACTTACCTTTTAAATAGTGACTGACTAGATGTATGAAAGCAGCCAAAATAGTGCTTCTTCAGTTCTGTCTATATTGTGGAAAGGTGTTTGTGGGAGTTAATAAATTGGGTTCATGGCACATGGGATAGAACGGAGACAAGAGAAAATAAAGTACAGAAGTGAGAGGCAAGGGATAAAATGCAAATGGGGAGAAGAGGTCCAAGCTCGGATAGCTCATTGTTAATGGAAGATTCTGAAACGTATCTTAGAAGCCAAGTCTAGTGACAGTTAAATTATCACTATTGTTAAAGAGACTTTATGCCCAGACTTTCTGTATACAGACAATCCTTGACTTAAGACGTTTTGAGTTACAACGGATGGCACTTAGTGTTTATAAATTGATGCCCTGTTTTGACTTTCTGACGTCAGTTTCGACTTTATGATGCTTGATCTGACATGATGCCATGTCAGCAACCAAGTTCGTTGTGTTGCCTGTCTCCCTGGAGAACATCTGTCCAAACTTCCTTGGCCGCTTTATTTAAGAAAGCAGACAAGACTCCAGAAAAACCTGCAGCCAAGACTTCTGAGAAGACTCCAGCCAAGAACCCTTCAAAAAGTCCAGCAAAGTCACCTCAAAGAAATCCTTCCAAATCAATATGATTGCTACTTACAATATAAATACATTAATGTAGCTATATTACTCCTCTATAATTGATTGAGAGCAAAATTCTTTGTTATTTTTGGTGAAAATAGGGTATAGGGCCTTAGTTCAGGAACCAATCCCCCATTTATAACATTGTTCTATGGGAAAATGGGTTCCGAGTTATGACGTTTCAACTTAAGTCGTGGTTTTCAGGAACCAGTTGTGTTGTAAGTCTGAGAACTGCCTGTACTAGAAACAATTACCTTTGCTCCAAAGAAAAGATAAAACTAGATATGGCAGGTAGGAAACACCTGGATAGGAGATCTGATCTTCATACATTTTCCTCTCCACTATCCCTAAAGATTTTAGATTTCATAGATTTCATAGACATCAGGGCTGGAAGGGACCTCGGAAGATCATCGAGTCCAGCCCCCCGCCCAAAGGGCAGGAAGTCAGCTGGGGTCATAGGATCCCAGCAAGATAAGCATCCAATTTTCTCTTGAAGGTGTTCACTGTAGGCGCTTGAACCACCTCCGGTGGCAGGCTGTTCCAGACCTTGGGGGCTCGGACAGTAACAGGCTAAAGAGTCCCAGGGCTCTCAGCCTGTCATCGTAGGGTCTGCTTCCCTGACCTCTGATCATGCATGTGGCTCTTCTCTGGACTCTCTCAAGCTTCTCCACATCCTTTTTGAATTGTGGAGCCCAAAACTGGACACAGTACTCCAGCTGTGGCCTCACTAAGGCCGAGTACAGGGGGAGAATGACGTCCCGGGATTTGCTTGAGAAGCATCTATGGATGCAAGCCAGCGTTTTGGTCGCTTTACTAGCCGCCGCATCGCATTGCAGGCTCGTGTTCATCTTGTGGTCAATGATGACCCCCAAGTCTCTTTCTTCCATAGTGCTAGCCAACATAGCACTGCTGAGCCTATAAGGATGCTGCGGGTTTTTTTTCCCAAGGTGGAGAACCTTGCATTTTTCAGCGTTGAACACCATCAGATTCTCGTCCGCCCACTTGCTGAGCCTGTCCAGGTCAGCCTGGATAACCTGCCTGTCTTCTGGTGTGGATGCTTTGCCCCAAAGTTTGGTGTCATCGGCGAACTTGGCCAGTCCGCTTCTGACTCCAGTGTCCACATCATTAATGTTACTCCTTTACTGTTACTCCTTTACTGTTGAAAGGCTTGGGAACCTCTGAAATTCCTCTGAGGCACTACCTCATGTGTTGCTTCTATTTCTACGCGTTGCTGAGTCGTCATTTCTCAGACAGACAGGAGAAGGCTCTTGGAAGAGTAATATTCTTCAAATTCTTCCAGGCAGACGAAGGTCATTCTTCAAAACAAGTATTTTCTCTTTGGTAATACCAGACAAAAAAATTGACAATGCCTTCCCTTACTTTATCCCAAAAAGTAATATCCCAGATTTGGCATTCCTCTGCAGCCATTGTATCAAAGGTGAGAGCAAACTGTAGAGACAAACCTTTAAGAATTTATCTTGTTCCCTTGATACAACAGCAGCAAAGTGACGGTCTCAGTGCATCTGCTTTTTAATTGCTATGAGAGGCCAGGACAGTTATATATACAAGTAGTTTTTAAATGTAACTACTATGTATTTACTTACTGTTTACAGTGTTTATATATAGATCTACACACACGTACTATATAGTATATATACAGACATATATATGTGTGTGAGTGTCTATATATAGATACACACATATAACATTTACACACATGCTATTTACAGTGCTGATATCTATATCTATATATATAGATATCTATAGATCTATATAGATATCTATATCTAATATTATAAATATAGGTATCTGTATTCACTGATATATAAACAAATACATACATGCATACATACACACATGCATACATATATACACACACATATACATATATAGAGAGATCTATATAGATCTATAGATATCTATATAGATATATATATATATCTATATATATGTATATGTGTATGTATATGTATGCATGTATGTATGTTTGTTTATATATCAGCGAATATAGATACCTACATTTATAATAACACTGTATATAGTATGTGTGTATATATGTATTTATATGTGTGTATACACACATGTATATAGGATGTATGTATATACTTACTATATAATACACGTGTTTGTGAGTGTATTAATACTATAAACCGTAATTAAATACAGAGTAACTACATTAAAATGATTGCCTTGGTAACCTGGATAAAGTTAGGAAATGTCAAATTTATGGTTAGGGCGCTGGGGCACATAACATATGAAGTGAGTCTGGGGGAACTGGTCTTATTTAGTCTGCAGAAGAGAAGACTGGGGGTGGATTCGATAGCAGCTTAACCACCTGAAGGGTGGTTACAGAGAGGATGGAACAGACTGTTCTCAGTGGTGGCAGATGACAGAACAAGGAGCAATAGTCTGAAGTTGCAGCAAGGGAAGTTTAGGCAGGATATTAGGGAAACTTTCTCATTAGGGTGGTAAAGAACTAGAATGGGCACTAGGGAGGTGGTGGAACCTCCATCCTTGGAGATTTTTAAGGCCTGGCTTGACAAAGTCCTGGCTGGAATGATTTAGTTGGGGATGATCCTGCTTTGAGCAGGGGGTTGGACTAGATCAGTGTTTCTCAACCTGTGGGCGATCTGGGGCTACCTATAAGTTTATTAGGGGTGTTCATCAGGATCTGGGGGAACGTCTGTTCACCAGAGTGCCCCAAGGGATGATAAGGTTGAATGGTCACAAACTCCTCTGCGACTGTTTCAGGCTGGACATAAGGAAGAACTTTTTTACTGTTGGAGCCCCCAAGGTTTGGAATAGACTGCCGCTGAAGGTGGTTCATGCACCCACTTTGAACGCCTTCAAGACATTTTTGGATGTTTATCTTGCTGGGATCCTATGATCCCTGCGGACATCCTGCCCCTGGGGCTGGGGGCTGGACTGGATGATCCTCCAGGGTCCCTTCCAGCCCGAATGTCTATGAAATCTATGAATGTGGCCAGGTGCTGAGACTGCGGCA